TATAGCATAATCTTCAGATCGACTAGCTAGCTGCTCATTTGCAAACATTTTCATATTTGTATTTAGGGTTCCAAATCTCAGTATTATGATGTTATTTCACAGTGACATGGTCCAGATGTTCAGAATCATCCATGAAATACCTAGAAAGTAATTCAGAAAGACACATTTTTGATTCTGGCTTAAACATTCAGTGCTTTGAATCTTCACACAATCTCACATCCTTTCAGCCTTTGTGCTGGTCAGATTTCATTTAGTTTTACTTGCATTACCACAGCATATGTTTGTAATATGGACACACAAGAATATATCATCTCCCAGAGATGGCTTTCATAATCAAATACAGAATATACCACCCAGTTAGCATTTCCTGATTTCCTGTTATTGCTCGTATAGGAATTCTTATGAAATCTTTGTTGTTTACAAATGTCTAGCTTGCTAAAACCAGCTGCACTCTACAGTTGTTTTTTTCTAGGTGAAAAGTACTGCAGTGAGGTTTCTGGTTTTTCAATGTACTGCAGGTCCAAAGCTTTATTTTGTATAAGCTGTCTTTAAACACATCCAGTAGGTTGCATAGACACAACCTCTATTTGTATAAAGCTGTGCTTTCTCCGACAATGGTCTTAGATGTCTGATAATCTTTTATGACTTCTGCTTGCAATTTGTTTTTTTAAAATGAAAGTTTCTTTTGCAGGATCATGGCTCCTTTACTTAACACTTTACCTTCTGTTATCTTCTTTAGTTGCCCAGAGGTCTGTCTCTGCCTCTTGTTCTTTTTACTTCAGTTTCCCGTCAGTGCTCGAAGGCTGTCTCATCCCACTTGGACTTCCTAAAGTGAGAAACTGTTTTAAAGAGATGTGAGCTTTTTTCGCATCCAAAAAAATGAGCTCTTGTTCCTATCAAAAGTTTGTTTCTCCTGTTTTTGCCAATCTAAATCTGTCTTTGTTGTTTAAACATGACCTGTTTTGTCTTGGTAGTGTAGCAGTGAGGCTTATTAATAAGGCAGAATTAAGTGTTTCTGAGCTTTCCCAAATTAGGCCTCATTTCTCTGTTCATCTCTGTGGTGCAGCCACAGAGAAACCATGCAGGCTGATTTAGGTTTCCTTTGATAAAAGACAGCTCCCAAAGGGGGATGCACTTAGCATCATGAATGGTCATCCATGGGCGCCTATCTGTCTAGGGAGTGCCAG